ACACACACACACACACACACACACACACACACACACACACACACACACACACACACAGAGAGAGAGAGAGAGAGAGAGAGACAGAGAGAGACAGAGAGAGAGAGAGAGAGAGAGAGACAGAGACAGAGAGAGACAGAGAGAGAGAAAGAGAAACCAGGTGTAATAAATTAATTGAAGGCAGCACTGAATATAATGCATTTCAAGTAAATACTGGGGAAACAAAACAAAACAAAACAGGAAAAGCAATGGAATCCCGCCTCAGTTTCTGTGCAGCAGGCCTTCCTGATGAACGCGGTTCCATGGAAACTATCTGAAAGGATACAACAGAGCGGCTCGCTTTGGTGCCACAGGACACGAGGTCACAGGGAAGGCGATGGTCTCCTGTGCTGTGTCTCCAGGTTTTTTATTTAATTGCTGACTATCTTTACTGCCGTTCTCATCTTCAGGACCAAAGCCATTCTGAACAATTTCAGTTTGCTCTTCCATTTCCTTTTTCTCATCTTGTGTGGAATCACTATAATCAAACACTGACTCCATGTTGATATTACTGTCTCGAAGACAGTCATCACCAACGCTATGATGTAATTGAAAGCACGAGGTTAATTCTTCTCACAGTTTGAACCTCTGTAAGTGCATTTTCTAATCTAATCATTCAACACTTTAGAAGTCAGGTAAGCCACAGACTTAAATGATGTCAAGGGACTGAAAGCACAGGTTCTAACTCACCTCAAGAAAAGTTTTAAGCAATCACAGGTGGTAGACTCAGGAATGTCAGGGAACTGCTGCAGACACAGCTGTAACATCTGCACATCTGTGTGCTCTAGGGCAATCTCCATCAAGTCAGGGCATAAACTGAGACCAAAAGTAATACAATTACTATGATTTTATATTTAAAAAAATCATTAGTAAATTAAAACAAAAAATTTACTTATGACTGTTTTGCTTGTATACATCTCTGTGTAGCACATATGAGCTTGGTGTCTCTGAAAGTTGGAAGAGAGGCTGGAGCCCTTGGTACTTGTGAGCTACAAAGTAGGTGTTGGGAAAATCTCCAAAAGCTCCAGTCTTTTTTTTTTTCAGGTTCCAAAAGCAGTTAAATGCTGAAAGCCCAGCTTGGGAGGCCATTCAGGTGGGGACTAAAGACAGCAATGGCTGAGAGAAATCCGGACAGTGGACCAAGGACTCTTAGGAACTGGGCTATGGGCCACTTGTGTGGTTTTCTAACCAAGAATCTGGCCTCATACCCTAAGAATACACATGAAATGGAACTGAGGAATAACAGATCAGTTTGCTTCGTAGAGTAAATTTCAAAAGAGATCATTTAGTCTGGTACTGTAACTATTAAAGAGATCAACATCCTTAACTAGAAACCTTTTATGCTACACTGGACACTAGGAAGCTGTCCCAAGAGCAACACTTCATCCCTTGGAGGCTCTTATCTAGTTAACATGCAGATTCATTTAAAGGGAGCCTATGCTGACAGAGTTCCCTGCTCCCCAAATGTAACTGCCCAGCAAAATGTTTCCTTAGGGCCAGCACAAACGAGCTGATATGGCTGTGGTCCAAGCCATTCCTTAAACTCTTATGGTAAGTCAGCAGCATTATTAATGCAGTAACAGTCTGAGGGCATAGATGTGGAAACTGAGGCCAGGCAATGACTGAAGTCCTATAAAGAGTACTCACAAGCCAACTGTGCGAAAGCTGTGAGGGTGAGGTATATGTGGGGAAGCCCATGCCATCACAGCACTGGGAAAGGACCTAAGACAACTACCATGTCCAGGTAGCAATCTCTGGTGAGATATGTGTGTGGTGTTATTTATCTACCAGTGGGTGTACACGTATGTGTATGTACATGTCTGCGGAGGCTCCAGAGCAATGCTGAGTGGTTTTCTCCACTGCTCTTCACCTTTTAAGAGGCAGGGTCTCCCACTGAACCTAGAGATCGAAGTTTTGGCTAGCCCTCTCACACACTGAGATTGCAGGTGGGCTGCCATACCCCACCAGACTTTTATGATGGTTCAGGGAGGCCAAACCCCAGTCCTTACACTTTACTTACTGAGACACCTCCCAAGAACCATTTTTACATAAAAAAACAAGGTTAACTATGAAGCATGAGACACACATGTACCTGTAGGAAAGCACATGTGTTTGGATGAGCTGCATCAGACAGTTCCGCGGATAAAACGATGGTTCTTCTTTACATCTTCCCAGAAGTCCTGCTACTATGTCTCCAATTATAGTATGAAAGTCAGGTGTCGACTTAGCCAAAAACTTACGTAGTTCTACTTCAATGTGCTTTTCTGAATCTTTCTGGAAGGGCAAAATTAAGCAACTTAGCCTGAGACATTAAGAAATATCACTATGAAAAAAAAAAAAAAAAAAGAAAAAAAAAGAAAAAGAAAAAAAACATAAATATTCATGCAACCCACTGAAGATGACATTAAACACACACACACACACACACACACACACACACACTCTCTCTCTCTCTCTCTCACTCTACAAAGGAGGTAAGATCTAAAGGTTTATAAACCCAGTTACTCAGACATTACACACATCATGGACTCTGACGTACAGACAGGAGAAGCCCAGTACCACATCACTAATGTCATCAGGTGATACAGTCATTAAGGCAGAGTTCTGTGCCCGCTGTGATGAAGTTAATACACAAATGTTCACCACAGCTAACAAGATTCCCCAGGCACTCTTGGTGGTGCGCATTCATATACTTAATAAATATGCAAATTGAGTTCTTCCAGGGATCAAATGTGGTCGCCAGGCCTATGAGACAGGTGCCTTTACCCACCCACCAATCATCTCACCAGCCCCATTTCTAGCCTTCTTTTTTCAAAATTTACCTTTATTAGCTGGGCAGTGGTAGCACATAGTTTTAATCCCAGCACTCAGAAGGCAGAGGCAGGCAGAGGCAGGCAGAGGCAGGCAGAGGCAGGCAGAGGCAGGCAGAGGCAGACAGATCTCTGAGTTTGAGGTCAGCTTGGTTTACAGTGAGTTACAGCCAAGGCTACCCAGAGAAACCCTTTCTTGGAAAAAACAAACAAACAAACCAAGCAAAACAACAACAACAACAAAAAACAAAACCAAAGAAACAGAATTACCTTTATTATTGATAAAAGTTGTTTGAATCCTGGAACTTCTGGCAGTAAATTTGTTTCAACTTTTTTTCTCCTAGGCTGTAAATAAATAAATTGGTTAGGTTTTCAAAAAATGCAAAAGACCTATCAAAATATCAAGACTATGAATCAGATTAGAATACAAGGCATGATCATATACTTAGAAAACACATATTAAGGATTTAGTACAAAAAACTTATTTTTCCCTTTTGACACAAAGTCTTTTTCTATGCAGTTCTGGGTGTCCTGAAACTTACTATAAAGACTAGGCTTAACTCAAACTTAGAGATCTACCTGCCTCTGCCTTCCAAAGGCTGGGATTAAAGCCATGTGTCACAATGCCCAGATATTTTTATTTCTTGTGCAGAATATTTTGCTTACATGTTTGCATGTGTAGCATGTTAAGTGCTGGTAACCATGGAGGCCAGAAGAGGGAGTTGGATCTCTGAACTCTGAGCTGCTATGTGGATGCTATAAACAAAATCTGGTCTTCTATAAGAGCAGTCAGTACTCTTAAGCACTGAGTGACCTCTCTAGCGCCAAGATTTTCTTTTTTCTTTCTTTTTAAAAAAGATTTATTTATTATATATACAACATTCTGCCTGAAGGCTAGAGGAAGGTACCAGTTCCCATTACAGATGGTTGTGAGCCACCATATCGTTGCTGGGAATTGAACTCAGGACCTCTGGAAGAACAGGCAGTTCCTTAAGATTTCCCTTTTAAGTATAGATCAATGTGTGTTTCCGTGGGTGTGTTTGTGAACGCAGGTCCCTGAGAAGGCCACAAGAGGACACTGGGTCCCCCTGTAACTGGAGTTACAGGCAGCTATGAGTTGTCCAATGAGTGCTGAGTCCTACACTTAAGTCCTTTGCAAGAGCAGCAAGTGCTGGGGTTAGAGGCATGAGTCACATCAGCTTTGGTTTTAGTGGTTTTATTTTGTATTTTTAAACTTGACACCTCTATACTCAGGAAGATATTACTGCTAATTATAATCTGGCCTATTTTCTACTTGAGACTTAGTTAATACCACATACATCCTTAAATATTAAACACATACTGGGGCTGGAGAGATCACCACTAAGAACATTTGTTGTACTTGCAGAGAATCTCAGTTTGGATTCTAGCACCCACGTGGCGGTTCACAACTACCTACAACTCCAGTTCCAGGGGATCTGACTCTCCTCACCTTGCCTGGTAGAGCACATACATACTTGGGCATATAAAGATGAAGTAAATGACTTATTTTTAAAAAAATTAAAGTATCAGTTTGGGTAAGGGATATAAGGTTCCAATGCTGAATCCCTGTTACTAGAACTCAAGCTGTGAAGGGTACACACACACAAACATTTAAGCTAATACAGCCTTTGTTGTTTTTTTCTTTTTACATTCGCACTAACATTTCTCATTCCACTACTGAACTTACAGTTCTTGACTGCACTGCACTGTTGGACCCAAGTTCATATCCTGAACACGTTTCCCAATTTACAAAATGGGGCATGGAATGAGTGCCTAAGGAAATACAAAACATAAATTACCGGATTATTTTGACCTAATATCATCAAAGTAAAGAAAAACAAAGGAAAACCACTTATGCACAATTTAAGAGCGGTCTCAAGCCAAGAGGTGGTGGTGCACACCTTCAGTCCCAGTGCCTGGGAGGCAGAGGCAGGTAGAGCTGAGTTAGAAGCCAGCTTGGTCTGCAGAGTAAGTTCCAGGAAAGTAAGGACTACACAGAGGAACTCTGTCTAGGAAAACCCAAAGCAAAAAGAAACCAGGAGCTAATAAAATGATCTGTGTGTCATAAAAACAAAGGTCCTACCTGACTCTTGAGTATGCTTGAGCTTTCCAAGAGCCCCCGCTAGCGACGATGCTTCGCACTTGTATGGAATCACAGTTAGACATTTTCCATGCAGCATAAATAGTATTTCCCCATGATACCAGAGCTGAAAGGAAGCAAGCATCCATTTGTTCCACGGCCTGACTGTCTGCCACACACTCACGAGCCCTGCCCGTCACCCTCCTTCCTGCCCGCTCACTGCTGCCCAGGCTCTCACGTCTTTCCAGGACCCTACTCCACACTCCTATCTTAGACAAATTTAAGTCTAGATCCAGCAATGAAAGAAAATTGATTTTTAAAAATTTTCATCTAATTTTCCTACAAATGACATGTAATTCTTTATGACCCAAGTTTCATTATGTAAATATATTCTACACTGTCTTCGTCCATTCAGCCACTGGTGGACCCAGATTCATTCTCTGACTCAAGCTCCATGTAACAGGAGTGACACTGCATAAGCTACCTCAGAACAAAAGCAGCTCTTTTGTTTTTGTTTTTGTTTTTCTTTCAAGACAGGGTCTCACTATGTAGCTCTGGCTGTCCTGGAACTCACAAAGCTTATCAGGCAGGCCTGCCACTAGAGATCTGCCTACCTCTGTCTCTAGAGTGCTGGAATTAAAGGCATGAGCCACCAACTCCATAGTAACATTTACTATTTAAAGGCTAATTTATGCCGGGCAGTGGTGGCGCATGCCTTTAATCCCAGCACTTGGGAGGCAGAGGCAGGCAGGTTTCTGAGTTTAAGGCCAGCCTGGTCTACAGAGTGAGTTCCAGGACAGCCAGGGCTACACAGAAAAACCCTGTCTCAAAAAACAAAACAAAAAACAAAACAAAAAAAGGCTAATTTATTAGGAATAGTATAATGCCTTAGGTTATAGCTTAATATATAACAAACAAAATCATAAGTAAACATGAACTATTAAAACAAAACTCAACCAAATGTAAGCTGTTAGGTCAAAAAATACACTTAATATAAACTCAAATAACTAGCAGAACGATGGTACATGTCTATAATTCTGGTACCCTGCGGGGTAAGGCAGGAAGGAGGATTGCAAATTTGAGGCCATGCTAGGCTACATAGCAACACCTTACCTCAAGCAAAGACCCAAACTCAAACCTCAACAAAACAAAGACCAACCCCAACAAACAAACAAGAAAAAAAAAAAAAATCAAACTTACTTGCCCACTGGTTCCTTGTGGCAGCTCTTTTGATGTCTGTAATGTCTGAAACTTTATGTTCCATATGGAGAGGCATTCTATAATGTAATTTACAGAAGTTCAGAAACAGACCCAAACAGAAACACATGCTATCCTGGCATGAAGGAAGGAGGCAGAGGTAAATACACAAGCTTGCTTGATGTATATAAGAGTGGCTGCCACAGGAATTCAAACAAATGAGGCACAAGGCAGGTAGGGAATGGAGTGAAAAGTCCCATGAAGGTCAAAATAGCAGATCTGAGTCTGTAATTAAAACAACATTCAAGAAAGGAAAGCCCAGCCGGGCGGTGGTGGCGCACGCCTTTAATCCCAGCACTTGGGAGGCAGAGGCAGGTGGATTTCTGAGTTCGAGGCCAGCCTGGTCTACCGAGTGAGTTCCAGGACAGCCAGGGCTATACAGAGAAACCCTGTCTCGAAAAACCAAAAAAAAAAAGAAAAAAAAAGAAAAAAGAAAGGAAAGCCCAGTACCAGATGACCTCACCATTGAATTCCAACAATCATGAAATCAGCACCAAACTATTTTAGAATATAGAAGAAATTAGTCCTAACCCTCCAGTAGGCCCATATTACGGAGGCCAAAGCCAGCACACAGGCACACGCGCTAACACACACACACACACACACACACACACACACACACACACATACACACACACACACACACACACACACACACACACACTCAGAGGCATGCACTAACAGTACGAATAAATAAAACTTAGCAAAGTTGCAGGGTAGCCAGGCAGTGGTGGCACAGACCTTTAATCCCAGCACTTGGGAGGCAGAAGCAGGCGGATTTCTGAGTTCGAGGTCAGCCTGGTCTACAGAGTGAGTTCCAGGACAGCCAGGGCTACACATAGAAACCCTGTGTCTCGAAAAACCAAAAAAAAAAAAAAAAGGAAGTAATGCATAAAAGGAACTGTGTTTCTACAGCTTAGAAAGAGAAGCTGTAGAAGAAAAGGAAACAATTATGTTTAAAGGAAGAAACAACTGATGGTACAGTAAAAACTAAGAAATACTGCTAGTGGGGACTAAGGAAGACATACACAGATAGAGTTTGTGAACTGGAAGATGGCACTGGGCATGGTGGTACACACCTGTAATCCTAGTGCCTGAGAAGCTGGGGTAGGATGATCTTGAGATCAAGGCCAACCTGGGCTACATAATGAGATTCTGCTGAGAACACAGAGAAGATAGAAACTAGAGGGTAAAAGCTAAATTTGATGAGGCAATTTCAGTTACCCTTAGAAGCTGGAAGTGGAGGTCCCAGGACTGCTATGTGGTCTTGATCCAGGATGGTGAGGGTAACACCATTTCGAGCACCGCCAGTCACGACTGACTTGAGCATCAATGCTCTAACTAACCTCTGATTTTTTTCTGTGTCACTTGGATATATTGGTATCAAGGTTTCATATATACATCCATCAGAGCCTGTTGGGAGCAAGTAGTAGTTATTTAGTAATGGGAAAAGGACAGTTTGTATTTATGGTAGTTAAATGTGTTAGGGTGTTCCTAAAAAACGTATGAGGATGTTTCTAAAAGTACAAGTCCATAAATAATACAATTACAATATTGGACAACTGTATCACTCTTTTCTTTCCCTCAATAAATATATTCAAATTTTTATAAATGGGGTCAGTAAAATGGTGTGCAAGCTAAAGGCACTTGCCACCCAACCTGGAAACCCGTGGTCACTGGAGCCCATATGATGGAGGGGGAGAACTACAAGTTGTTCTCTGGCCTGAAAATGAGAACCAAGGCACATGCACATAAGATACTGTAAATAATGCCAAAATGTGTGTGAGTGTCGGGGAAACCCACTGGAGGTGTAACTCCATTGGTAAAAGTGCTTGTCTACTATGCACAAGGCCTTCAGTTTAATCCCTAGCACCACATAAAGCCAAGCTGTACACCTCTGTAACCTCAGCACCTGTAAGGTAGAGACGCAGGAGGAGCAGAAGGATCACCCTTAGCTATCTGTGACTTCTCTTTTTTATAGGAACTACATTTTTGTTGTTTATGGTAAGCCTAAAAGCCTATGAAATGGCCATGGGAGAAAGCTGCAGAAAGCTTAAGACCCCGCCTCCTGGACAGTCCTCTCCCAGCCTCCAGTCACCACCTGTGGAATTAAAGACGACTTACTCAGTGACGCTAGGGAGATGAATTTCCCATCCACACGTGCAGTAAAATTTGGTTTAACAGATTTTTCTTCTTTTCCAAGTACAAGTGTGTATTTGTTTAAGCTCTGTGATTTGCACAATCGTATGTAAGCAAAGTAATTCCCATGCTGCAAGAAAAAAAAATTATCTTATTAACATCCCCACTTCAAATAACTATAATTAAATGTTAAAACTAGAAGTTAGGGCTAGAGAGATGGCTCAGCGGTTAAGAGCACTGACTATTCTTCCAGAGGTCCTGAGTTCAATTCCCAGCAACCACAGGGTGACTCACAATCATCTATAATGGGATCTGATGCCCTCTTCTGGTGTGTCTGAAGACAGCTATAGTGCATTCATATATATAACAAAGAAACAAACAGACAAAACCCTAGAAGTTATTGCTTCATTCTAATTATTTCAATAACTACTTAAAAACTGCTTGCCCAGGCTGGGTATGGTGGCATATACCTGCAATCCCAGCACTTGGGAGGCAAAGAGAAGAGAAATGCAGCAAATTCCAGGCAAGCCTGGTCTACATGTGAGTCCCAGCCACCAGGACTGCAGAGGTGCTGTACTTGGTAGGCAGGTGTTATGCCACCAAGCTATAGCCCCACTCCTTGTCTTTTAAGACAGTGTCTCAGTACGTAGCCTAAGCTTACCTCAAATTCTCCATCTTCCTGCCCCATTTTCTTAAGTGCTGGGATTATGGGCATGTTATAAATACAGACATGTCTTCAGTTAAATTTAAAATGTTATAAAAATGTTGCCTTAGTTTCTTTCTTGGTAAAACATAATATGCCATGCAACCCTGGGCAACAGAACCTGGGGTCCCATGGCTCAACAGCAGTCTGGCCATGGGGCTTATGGAGATACGGCAAAGACGAGGCAGATTCTCATCACTAAATTAGATCACCTGGTCAAGAACGTGAAGACCGAGTCCCTGGAGGATCTGCTTGTTCTCCCTCCCATGCAGAAACCTGAGTTACTGACTTCCTGGAGCAGCCCTAAAGGATGAGGTTCTAAAGGTCACATCATTAGAGGAGCAGAGCAGGGCTGGCCAGCAGGCCTGCTTCAAGGCTCAGGGTTAGACTTGGTGTAAAATGGTCTAAGCAGGCAGCTACTGACACCTGATGGTCCACTGTCTTGGCCATGCTCTCCATTTTCCCTGTGTGGGGAAGGGCTGATGGGAATCGAGATCAGCAGGCCTCATATGGTCCCATGTAAGATGACAGGCTGTTGTGGCTCTGTGCTGATGTGCCTTATCCCCGCCCCCAGAGGCAATGGTATTTCTCCGCTCCTCTGTCCAAATACCCTGGGCAACTTTGAAAAGGCCATCTTTGATGCCATCTCCAAGACCAACAGCTGCCCGATCCCAGATCCCTGGAAAAACACTGTGTTCACCAAGTCCCCACCAGGAAGTCACCGAGCATCTTGTGAAGACCCACACTGGAGCCTCCATTTGGAGGATACAAGCTCCAGCTGTCGCTACTACATGGGAGTTTTATACCATAAAAATAAAGTAAGTCTTCGAAAAAAAGTTTAATTTAGGCATAGAAACTAGCATTTTAGTGTTCACAAAAGAAACAACCTAAGAGAAATAGCAAAATTACATTTTAGTTTTGACATAGGTGACTTAAAAAATGCTACAAAGACCAGAAATTGAAGAGTCACTTACATTTTCAGTAATAAAAATTAAAACCGGTTGCTTAAATAACATGAAAACCTCCGACCACCTTTAAAGAAGAAAGAAAAATTAGAAAACACAAAGCCAATTGAGAAATGTTCCTGATGAATTATATTTAAGTAAGTAGTGTGGGGTTTGGGAGCCTGACTTCAATAACTGCAGTGGAGGCAGTGCAGGCTGTTAGACTTCTCAGCACTGAGGAAAACTGTGAGGCGGGTGAGGAGCTGCAGTCCTTTAAGGGTTTACACTGAGACCTCCACCCCCCTTTCATCATCATTTTGGGGACTAGTGTTCCTAGGATAACACTAGAATCGTATCTGGCTTCTATAAGCAACAGAGAACAAGGCATAGGAAGGTAAGACTAGGGCAGCAGCCAGTGTGTGGCACAGTGGTGATGAGAACCCAAAGGTCACCCACTCCATGACAGCTGGTCACACCTTAGACACGCAAGGTCAGTCCAAGATTGGGTGTTCACTCATTTATTCAGCACAAGGCTTTGCTCTTAGGAGTTTAGTTTCTACAAGGTCGACCTCAAGAGGCCACAAGTGAATGGTGATGTCATGGCCTATCCTGCCACCAAGTGAATGAGCATTCCTCCAGAGCCCAGGAAAGCCAGAGGCACTACAGCATCACCATCACCTCTTACTACAAAGACATGTTTTTCTCCAGGGGAAGGGCTGCAGCTTGGCTGGTAATCATGAAGAAACCAAAGAGTTTAGACTTCCAGTACTAGCCACTTCCTTCACAAACAGCTGACTATCCAGGTCTCTGACATCTGACCAGGACTATGGACATTTCCTTATCATTTATTATTATTACACAGGCTCACAGGTTCTTGGGGATTTTGCTCAGTGTCTCATAAATGGTATTGTAGTTGTTAAAGTTTTGTTTTTGTTTTTTAAAGATAGGGTCCCACTATGTAGCCCCTGCCAGCCTAGAACTTATTATGCAAACCAGGCTGGCCTCAAATTCAGAGATCTGACTGCCTCTGTCTGTCTAGTACTATACCCAGCAATATGTGAGATTTAATTAGGGCATTTTTTCCCTTTGGATTCTAGGGATTAACTCTGGGCTTCGAACATGCTAGGTAGGGCTACACCACTGAATTATACCATAGTCCTTTATGTTTCTAATTAATAACACCTTCAAACACAGGAGAGAATGTACTGAAGCACTGCAGAGCACACTTTCTACTTCAAACACAGGAGAGAATGTACTGAAGCACTGCAGAGCACACTTTCTACATAAAAGTTCATACGCAAGCACTGGCACTCACTTGATCACTTCCTCGTCAGGTATGACAGCTTCAATGCTCTGCTGTGGTTCTGCAAGCAAGGCCTCTAACCCACGTGCAGCACCTCTTCGGAAGAGCACCAAGGGTTCTGTTCTTTGTACTGAGTGGATCCTATGGACCTCAGCTGACAGCTGGAAAAAAATGTTCCAAATATTTTAAGTTTTACTCTAAAAGAATAGATATGTGATACAATACATTTGCAGGTGTCTAGCTTAGTTGTCTGGCCTTGGGCTCATGAACGTGCCTTAGCTTCCTAAGTGGCTGACATTACCAACAGGTGTCATCAGACTCAGCCTGAAAGACTTATTAACAGACTTATTTGTTTGGGCATGGTGGTGCACACCTTTAACCCCTAGAGGATCTGCCTTTTTTCCCTGCCACCCAGAAGAAGTCTGAGCTATTGACTTCATGGAGGCAGGCAGATCTATGTAAGTTCAAGTCTAGCCTGGTCTACATAGTGACCATAAGTTCCAGGACTGCCAGGGCTACATAGTGAAATTCTGTCTGAGAGAGAGTGACAGAGAGGAGAGATTAATAGGCTATTCCACCCTGGATCTGTCTGTCTGACCCTGTACTGCAGGGCCTTGTACAAGCTGGGTAAGCACTCTAACACTAAGCTAATCCCCATGCCAACATGCAGTGCCAAACTATGATGATGACAATGACCCAACAAAATAAAACAAGCAACAGTAACAAAACAAAAGACAAAACCACCAATGAGCTGGTAAGATAATAGGTAAGGCTCTTGTTGCTAACAAAGGAGGACAGAAATAGCTAACCTTTTCAGGTTTTTTAGGAGACAGCACAGTTTGATGTTTCATGAGTCTAGGCAAGAACTATATTGGATTTGAATTAGTCTCATTTGGGGTTCTAAAATGTATCAATTATATATAATTTTTTATTATGTTCATTTGTTTTACTTGCATGTATATCTTTATGAGGGTGTCAGAAACCATGGAATTGGTGTTACAGACAGTTGTGAGCTGTCATGTTGGTGCTGAGAATTGAACCAGGGTCCTCTGGAAGAGCAGCCAGTGCTCTCAATCACTAAACACCTCTCCAGCACCAAATGTTATTAATTATAAAGTCAGACATTTAGAACTAGAAATTTGTTTGCTGAGACAGGGACTCACTTACTGCCCTGGTTGGTCTGAAACTTTCTATGCAGACCAGGCTGACCTTAAACTCACAGAGATCTGCTTGTCTCTGTCTCCTGGGTGCTAGGATTAAAAGTGTACACCAGGGCCTGGAGAGATGAAACATCACAGGTTGTTGTGTGCTGGGAACTGAATTCCAGTCTTCCCAATGCTCTTAACTGAAGAGCCATCTTTCTAGCTCCTAACTATCCTAACTATTTCTAACTCAGAACTATTTAAGTCTGTTCTTATGGAAGAATATAGCCTGTATTTTCTAACTTATTAATACATGAGTTGAGATAGTTATCAAGGTCTGTAAGAAAACAGCTGGAGGGGAAAACTGACTACAACCATCAGCTCTTTTCCCAGAGGCAATATGATAGATAACAAATATGAAACTGAGTTATTTCATTTCACCATTAATATGTCAGAAAATCTAAAGACTTACTGTAGCTTTGAATACTTTATCCAAGTTTACGTCTTCACTATTCCATATTCTCAAAACCTTAAATCAAAAAAGTATACTGGTTAAATAGTACTGCATTGCCTATTTGTAACAAATAATCAATACATGCAATATATCTTATGTTATACACATTAGTATGTTTCCAATTTTACCTTATGGTCATGTACCATAATATACTCTCCAGTCTGAAAGTTGCACACAGCAGGACATGTTATACGCTGACCTTGTTTCACCGACCAACTGCCCAAGGGTTTCTGGTCAGAAACCTGGCAAAAGAATATACAATTTAAGAATTTAGCTTCAGACATTAGAGCAATTAGATATAATAAACAAAAAAAGAAGCCCTTGAATGAGAGTCCTGAATACAATGTCTAACATTGTGAAGTAAGTACCCAGATTAAAACACTGAAGGCTGGTGGAGAACAGTGGCTGCTGGGGGCTGGGAGGAATGGAGGATTATTATCTCTTCTGTGTTGGATGAGATCTTTCTGTGTAGTCTAGTAGTCTAGGCTGGCCTCAAATCCAGATTCTCTTACCTCAAGTTCCAGAGTGGATAGTATTTATTTATTTATTTATTTATTTATTTATTTATTTATTTTCGAGACAGGGTTTCTCTGTGTAGCCTTGGCTGTCCTGGAACTCACTCAGTAGACCAGGCTGGCCTCGAACTCAGAAATCCGCCTGCCTCTGCCTCCCGAGTGCTGGGATTAAAGGCGTGCGCCACCACCGCTCAGCTACTATTTATTTTTTAATTACATGTATGTGTTTATCTGTGTGCACACACTCTTATGAACCCAGAGACTAGAGGACGGTTTTCAGGAGTCAGTTCCTTTCCTTCTACCTCGTACATCTGAGAAATTGAATTCAGGTCATCAGACTTGATGACAAGTGCCTTTGCCAGCTGGGCCATCTCCCCAGCCCTCAGACCTTGTACTGATGAAGAGTTCCTCAGAGGTGGATTGTGGTGAAGTCTATACAACAATGTAAGTGGACTTACCACTTCACTATACACTTAGAAGTAGTTATGATGGCCAAATGCCATCTTAAAAAAATTAAAAATTAATATTAAAAATTCCAACTAGGTGTGACAGCTTACACTTGTAGCCTTAGCACTGGGTGGCTGAGGTAGAAGGACAGTAAATTCTGCATGCCTTTGATCCCAGCACTTGGGAGGTGGAAGCAGAGGCCAGCCTGGTCTGCAGAGTTTGTTCCAAGACAGTTAGAGCTACACACAGAGAAACTGTCTCAAACAACAACAACAACAACAAACAAACAAACAAACAAAGCCAGATCTGTCTCAAAAAAAAAAATCCCTCAAAACTCTTAACAATGTGAAAATTAGTTCAAGATACTTCGTATGAACAACATATGAACAATGATATAGTTAAAAATGAATTGATTACTGTGGAACAGAGGTAAGAAAAATTAGGTTGGTGCAAGCAGGATCCAGCCAACCTAACTGCCACCAGCTATTGTATTCCTAGGCAGAAACTGTCAAATTAGTAGACAGCCCAGAGTTTGAAGGGAAGTCTAAACCAACTGTTGGCAGACTGTCCCCAAAACGTTAAAGTATTTGAGTAACTTTCTTTTCTGACTAATTTAACTTTTTAGTTGTTGTTTTTATATACACTGGTGTTTTGCTTGCTTGTATGTCTGTGTGAAGGTGTCAGATCCTGGAGTTACAGACAGTGGTGAGCTGCAGTGTGGGTGCTGGGAATTGAACCCTGGTCCTCTGGAAGAGCAGCCAATGCCTCTAATCGCTGAGCCATCTCTCCAGCTCCTGCTGATGGATAACTTTTTAATGATACAAGAAACTGTTCAAGAGCGTAGGCAGTGGTGGCACACACCTTTAATCCAACGCATCTCTATGAGACCAGAGTCAGGACAACCAGGGCTACACAGAGAAACCCTGATTCAAAAACCCAAAATTCAAATAAAAGCACCACCAACAGCACTGTTCAAAATTCCAGATTAAAAAACGTGCTTTGTAGACGATTGCTACAACAAGGTTCTAAGTGTGCTGAGCCAGGAATTAGGCTGCAAAGAGGGTGAGACTGCGACGTTCCAGCCCTCCACTCCTGAGTTTCACAGTGCTGCAGAATTGCCCGATCTTTCTAGGATACCAAAACATTTCTGCCTCTTCCCACCCGAGAAACCCCAAGGAGCGGAGGATGTATTGAATAACACATGTTTTCTACCTGTCAGTGCCATCCTTTGAAGCTCAATCTCCGCTCGACCCTTTGGCTAGCAAGCCGCAGGGTGACAGAAACCCCTTGGCCAGGCTCTCTCCCGGAGATTAGAAGCACAGGTTCCCGGCTTATCCCATGTGCACCCAGACACCGCCGCATGTCACTCGGAAATATGCCAGTCCTCACAGGCAAACAGCTTCTGAACCTCAGTCGGCGTCCCGCCGACTCTATTGCACCCCGGGCCTCTGTCATGCATGCTCCCGGCTTTCCGTCTCAAGCTGTGAGAAACTCAAGCCTCCCGCTCTCGGCTTCGGACAGAGGCGAGACACCTACCGGCCGCTCCCCTTGCCCTCACCTTGTAAAGGACGACGGTCCTGCCGCTGTCCGTCACTAGGAACTGGTCGGCTTTGTCACTCTGCTCTACACCTAGGAATCCTTCAGGCCCGGCACTTAAGACTCCCGTAGACAACGTGAACTCTTCTTCCAGGGCTGCCATTTTGGGCTGGCCTACAGCCCGTGCATGCCTCCCAACAGGCTTTGCGCTTTCTCTCGCGAGAGCGAAAGACACAAAGGGGGTGGGACCTCACCAATGGAGGAAAATCAGCTCGAGCAGAACTGCGACCCCTGGCGGGCGGAAGAGGAGCAGGCGAACACTGCCCGGTGGGTGGAGCCTAGACACGTGCCATGATCATGCCCTCTCAAGGCCACGCCTCCCGGCTACTAGAGATTAAAATCATTGAGTCGGCTTCCGTGCCTTCTTTGCCAGTTAGCTAATGGAAGCTGAAAGATGAGTTTAGAAGTGGCCTGGTATATAAAAGCAGATTTTAAGAATATGCTAAGTGAACTGTAGGAAGTCCTACCACAATATTCCAGAAGGGGAAAAAAAATTAACCTGCAGATGACTGAGTCTTAATGTGCTGTTTCAAAGTGCTTAATTGCGCTTACCCCAACCCTCCAGGGATGTCTGGTCCTGTGGGCATTTATTTTTCCTGTCGTTTTGACGCTGGTAGGGAAATCTTTTCCAGATTATCAGAATGTACAACTCCTTTGATTAAAAAAAGAAATCTAGAGTGGCATGGTGGCACATGCCTTTGATCCCAGCACTCTGGAGGCTGAGGCAGGGAAATCTCAGTAAATTTGAGATGAGCTTTGCCTGCATAGAATTCCAGGACAGCCTTAGCTTCACAGAAAGATTGTCTTTAAAAACAAACAAAAATTTAATAGGGATGCCCAGCCCTTGGCAAGCTGAGACAGAATGTTCATCAGGTTGGCAGCCAGCCTGGGCTACTGGGAGATGCTCTCAGAGAGTGAAATCCAAAGTGCCCTGTGCTAAGTTTGGCTAGGCTTCCTTTAACCTCAGGGTGGGTGAAGAATCACAGAAGTTTCTTCCCTGGAGATCCCTGACTCTCAGACAGCTAAGGTGGGGAAGTTTGCTGCTTGTGTAACTTTGGGGATGAGGCTTGTGAATTTTACAGGTTTCAGCTTACTTAGACTTGTAAATTTTGTTTACATCCTGAGGGGCCTTGCACCTTCCAGTCCTAGGAAATATTCAAAGGCACTATTGCTGTTTGAGCAATATGCACAATATGAACACACATTGTTTCTGTTTTGTTTTGTTTGAAATAGGGTATTCTGTAGCCTAGGCTGGCCTGGAACTTACCTAGTAGTATGTAGCACTAGACCCTTGTTTATTTGCAGCTGGGTGCACTACCAGCACCTTCTTGCATCTGGACCTGGTTGGCCAGGACCTGACAGATTACCTCATGAAGATCCTGACTGAGCTACAGCGTTACTACCACAGTTGTGGGTGACATTAAGGAGAGGCTGTGCTATGCTGTCCTGGATTTTGAGCAAGAAATGGCTAGTGTTACAGCCTCCTCTTCCTTGGAGAAGAGCTATGAGCTGCCTGGTGGGCAAGTGATCTTCATTACGTTGAGTGATTATGGTGTCCAGAGGGACTCTTTCAGCCTTCCTTCCTGGGCATGGAGTCCTGTGGCATCCACACAAGGCCACCTTCAACTCCCTCATGACATATGATGTGAACATCCACAAAGACCTGTTTGCCAATATGGTGCTGGCTGGTGGTACCACCATGTATCCATGCCTTGCTGACAGGATGCAGAAGGAGATCACAGCCCTGGCACCCAGCACAATACAAATTAAGATCATTGCCCTCCCTGAGCGCAAGTACTGGGTTTGGATTGACGGCTCCATCCTGGCCTCTCTGTCTGCCTTCTAGCAGATGTGGATCAGCAAGTGTGAGGAGTCCGGCCCCCCACATCGTCCACTGCAAATTCTTCTAGATGGACTGGGCAGGCGCTATTGGAATGCTGCATGAGCTATTCTGAAGTATCGACTTACTAATGTACACACCTCATGCTAGCAAGCCTCATGAAGCTGGAATAAGCCTTTGAAAAGAAATTTGTCCTTGAAGCTTATGTCTGATACCAGCACTGGATGGTAGAACGTGTTGCTGATTTTTGACCTTGTATTTACGTTAACTGTTCCCTTGATGCATGTTTGATACCCTGTGCGTATCTTGATTTATTCCTTACTCTGTGTGGCTCGGTCACTTGATGACTGGTAAGAACATATACTGTAGAAAAGAAATCCCTGTCTTTTAGATCAGTGTGACACCATGTAGTGATCTGTGCAGATAATTAACCAACACAGGCTTCCAGGATTTCCTGAGGCTGGCAAGGGCTCCTGAACCAGTTACTATTTTATTCTTGCCAGTCTAACAGGGTGGGAAAGTCTGAGCCTTAGGACCCATTTTCCGATCTGGTTTTATCCCTCCTGACTGCCATGGGTTGTTACTTGCCTTGAGCTGGGAATGTTTTCATTGACACTGGTAAATGTATTCATCCTTTTAATTTATATAAAGTTTTTTTGTGCTCAATTCTTTAAAAATGATAAATTTTGGTTTTCTACTGTTCAGTGAGAACATTAGATCCAATAACATGTCATTGTGGGAAGGAAACTAAAAGTGCTGCAGTAACTGAAATCAATCAATCAATAAATAAATAAAAATTGCATTTGTTTTTTTTCCTGGGTGGTGGCGGCACTCTGGAAGCAGAGGCAGGTGGATCTCTGTAAGTTCCAGGCCAGCCTGGTCTACAAAGCAAGTTCCAGGACTGCTAGAGCTACAAAGATAAACATTGTCTAGAAAAAATTTTAAAAACGGATTTTATTTTTACTTGGTGTGTATGGAATTTTTGTCTGCTTGATGTCAGTGTACTAAGCAAGTGCCTGGGACTCTCATAAACCAGAAGAGCATGTCAGATCCCCTGGAACTGGAATTACAGATGTCCGTGAGCCACCATGAGGGTGCTGGGAATTGAAGCAGGGTCCACTGCAAGAGCTGCAAGAATTCTTTTTTGTTTGTTTGGTTTTTGGAGACAGGATTTCTCTGTGTAGCCCTGGCTGTCCTGGAACTCTGTAGACCAGGCTGGTCTCAAGCTGCAAGCATTTTTAACTGCTGAGTCAGATCTCCAGCCCTATTAAAGCATACTATATAGAAACCATTGTGTGGAGAAAGCAGATGCTCCCAACTGTATTATTTGAGACTCATGGTGGTTCTTAAACAATGTGTAAGATGTCTGAGGTGTGCTTTTCAGATCTGGAATCTTAGCACACTGTGAAAGTGAATGTTCAGACCACAGGAAGGAATGGAATAATAGAATTCCAGCAGGCATTTCTGAAGGTAGTTTCTCTGCAGCAAGCATTGGCGAGAGAATCTAAGACCTTTCATCGTAGTATGGGGTATGTCTTTTCAAAACTCAGTGCCTGCATCTAGAGATTTCTTATCTCGGTAGAATATATATAACATGAAATATACCATTTTCACTTTTTGATGGGAAGTTCCTTGGCATTGCTACATTTACAAATTTTTGTAGCCATCACCACCATCCAATTCCAGAGCATTTTTGTCTTTTCAAACATGGTCAATCCTCATTTCTCTTCCTCTCTCAGCCCCTGGAACCCGGTCCACTGCTTATCTTTGTGAATTCCACCCCACAAATCTTTCTTGTTAAGTATAGCTGCACTCTTGTCCTTTCGAGATTGGCCTCTTCCACCGCACTGTATCTTCAATCAATGCTGTAGTGCCAGAGGATAACTGTTGGCATTTTGTCTAGGCTCCGCCCCACAGTTACCTGGCAATGGCCAGGTATACCTGACTCACTATAAGAGGGGCTCCTTGCCCCCTCAGTCTCTTGCTCTCTTCTCTTGCCTCTTGCCCTTGCTCCCTTAGCCCCTCTCTCCCTATTCCTCTCCCCTCTCTCTCTCCGTGTCCTCATGGCCGACCTCTTCCCTCTCCTCCCCACCCACCTCATTTTGTCTTCCTCTCAACTTCCCTCTCCATGCCCTGAATAAGGGACAACTCAGCATGGGCCAGCAGAGACACCCCCTTCCCCCACACCATACCTCACCAAACATATTCCTTCCTTTCTTCGCTTTTTATAAAACACAACAATAACAATTCTCTCCCGCCACCTTTTGGGTTCCAGGGATCAGATTTGTGTTGTTAGCCTTGGTGGCAAGCTCCTTTACCTGTTAAGCCATTTTGCTGGCCTCGACCCCCTTCTTTATCTTAGACCCTGGCAACTGCTTTCTGGGCTCCCTGATTCTTTGTGCACTCTTAGGCAATCTCTAACCAGTAGGATCTATGAAGAACTCTAATCAGATTATGTATCTGTTGCCACCCCAAATGGGCCCAACGGCATCAAATTAGATTCTTGTTTGTTTGTTTGGTTGGTTGGTTTTTGGTTTTTTGAGACAGGGTTTCTCTGTGTAGCCCTGGCTGTCCTGGAACTCACTCTGTAGACCAGGCTGGCCTCGAACTCTCAAACTCAGAAATCCGCCTGCCTCTGCCTCCCAAGTGCTGGGATTAAAGGCGTGTGCCACTGCTGCCTGGCATAGCTAGGCACTCTTGTTTTTTTTTTTTTTTTTGTTTTTGTTTTTTTTTTTTTTGGTTTTTCAAGACAGGGTTTCTCTGTGTAGCCCTGGCTGTCCTGAACTCACTCTGTAGACCAGGCTGGCCTCGAACTCAGAAATCCGCCTGCCTCTGCCTCCCAAGTGCTGGGATTAAAGGCGTGCGCCACCACCGCCCGGCTAATAGCTAGGCACTCTTAAACGTCAGAAGATGTTGGATCCCCTGGAACTAGACCTATAGATAGCTGTGATCCACCACTCGGTCCTAAGATCCAAACACATGCTCTTGGGAGCTGGAGAAATGACTCAGGAGTTAAGAGCACTTGCTGCTTTTCCAGAGGACCTGGGTTCAATTCCTAGCACCCACATAAAGACTCACAACTGTCTGTAACTCCATTCCAGAGGATCTGACACCCTGGCCTCCTCAGATACCAGGCACACATGTGTTCATACATGTCAGGCATACATGTAGGCAAAACACCCATACACATAAAATTCAAACAAATAAATCTTAAAAAAAAAAATAGTGACAGCTGGGTGGTGGCACACACCTTTAATTCCAACTCTTGAGAGGCAGATGCAGG